TTTGTTTTGTGAGTTGCCTTTGATTGCTGGGACAAGGGCCTGGTCTTTGATTGAATTTGCTTTGGTTTATACTCTAGTTAATGTGATTAGCGTCAGACTGTGTGTGAGGGGTATTAGGGTTGACAGGCCTCGCCATAGGGGAAGCCTGGACTCCTCATCCTAACTGGGACCTGATACCCAATACTCTTACTTCCTACACTCACATTGATTTTTAATTACTCTCTATTAATTAGCTTTATGTTTTAATGAATTGATGTATTCTCCCTAGACAGTGTCTCCTGTTTCGTAGACACGGGGTCAGAGGTTAGAGGTCGTGGGCTGGTGTATCATATTGACTGCACTGCCTTCTCTGATATTTTTATGTTCGTTTGGTTGACCACTCATTGACTGTCTCTGTTTGTGTTACTGATAAACAGGGGATAGTTGTGTGCCGGGATTGGTTATGTTGATGGTTATTACACTTTTAGGTAATTGAAACTCTTTCAGAAATATCAGTCTGTGATACCTAGGCCAGTGTGCCTTTCATTTTTTTATATTTCTTTGATTCTAACCCACAGTTTTCTGTTTATTTAAACTTAGGTGATAATTAGTTATTATTAATGTTATTAACTACACCTGCCTCATTATCAAACACCCTGCCTCACGTTTTTCATCTCAAATACCTGCAGGTGAAGAACATGGCTTCACTTGATGAAATAAACCACTATATATCGACTTACCATACTTTCATGCTTTACGTGAATCACATCCGTCAACAGTACACAGATGCCATGAACAGCTTGTTCAAAAATAAATAAATATGTAAACTAAAATCCATCACACCCAACTTTTTAGCTAAGTATCCTAGAAATATTTGAATATCAATGCTGACAGTAAGTCCCTGTCCTTGTTGACATTTTAATCAGCTGACTACATATGGAGATGAGCTACACCAATTTTTATGGAGGCATATCCTATGTATTTTACTGACATTATTTGAGTATATTCCCTTGTTTCAAGATGACACATGAGAAAACCTGAGAATGATTCATTTTTTGCACCAGCATCGGCAAAGACATTCTTCTATACCTGTCACATCATGTTAATCTTGACATGGGCGTCAATAAATTTAAAGCTGTTTCCGAAACATGACAGGCTCTTTCCTAGTTTCCATTTCCCCATTAAATGACAGTTTTCTTAGTAAGTTCCTTCACAGCCCAATTCTTTTAGTTAAGGCTAGGATGATTGCTTTATTTGGGTTCTACCTTAGGCTCAGGTTCCACAAGGCCGTCTTAGCACTAAGATGACTGTAACATCAATTCATCTATACAGTCAATAAGTGGTCCACCAGATGAAAATGACTGTTACATCTATACTTTTACATTGACATACAACACTGAACAGTTATAAAATTACTATCACTTTGTTGAAATAGGCCTTAGTTATTGAAAGTATTAGCCTGTTTGTCATACAGGAATTGTTTAACTGTTTGTTCTTCATTACCCGTGAAGGTCCCGGGTTAGAACTGGTCTTCAGTAACCCATGCTTGTCGTAAAAGGCGACTATGCTTGTCGTAAGAGGCGACTAACGGGATCGGGGGTCAGGCTCGCTGACTTGGTTGACACATGTCATCGGTTCCCAATTGCGCAGATCGATGCTCATGCTGTTGATCACTGGATTGTCTGGTCCAGACTCGATTATTTACAGACCGCCGCCATATAGCTGGAATATTGCTGAGTGCGGCGTAAAACTAAACTCACTCACTCACTCATTGTTCTTCATTAAATTCAGTTCTTTTACAGACATAGAAATACAGTCAACTACAGTTAGGTCGAACTTTGATGTGTCAAATTATCGGGGTTCTTGAAGTAAAAGCTTGCTCCCTACATACTCCTGATTCAGTTATAATTTTGCAGTTGTGTCAAACATCCGATGATGTGAAGTATTTATGTATGTCCATTCAACTTCGACACACAAAGGGCGTCTAACTGTACTTGGCATATGTTCAGTACTATTGTTCTACTTGAGTCAGCCATTCCTCCAGGTATGGTAGGAGAGTTTCATGAACAGTGTGTGTCCAGATAGTAAATAGTGTTATGCCATGCTGGCAGCACTCAGGGTGAGATGATGTAATAGACTATAACCTGGGATCCTCTGACACCAGGTGATCCTACACAAGCAGCTAACACAACATGACACAACACTGATACACAGTATGGTGTCACCAGCCAAATATTGGCAGAGCTGGAGGCCAAACACTGGCTGCTAAGAGCAGAAGACTTGTCAGTATTAACTTCCCACTGTCAGCTTGTTATTACAGATTAACCTTTGCTACTTATTAGGCCATATACATGCTCATATTTCTAATTTGCAAACACTGTTCCTATTCTTTGTACAGGAAACGGTGTTGCATTTCTTATTGGTGTCATATATTTCAGAGAACTCCTTGGAGAAGCATTTCTGTTCTCACTTGCTTGAGAATAGTGTTAGAGCCTACCCTGCAGGGTTGGAAATAACCCATTGCCCGACGCCCGAGTCCAGTGTTTTTTTCTGTCGGGCAAGCAAATTTGTATATCACACTGTACCGGTGTCCAGTTGACTTTCCAATATTAATTATGTTGTTTATTTAAAAAATCAACAAGAAAACGGCCGGTATAGTGGAAAAATTATCAGGGCAAGTGATTTTACATGTGCCGCTGTACCGGAGTACACTAGCAATTTTAAAATTATTTCCACCCCTGGCCCTGAAATGTTGCTCGCACTGTGGTCCAGAAGTTGTTCATCCATGTATTGTCAACCGTCCTTATTTCAGGGAAGTTGGGTTGCCTAGTGGTTGAAGTGGTTAGCTGAATACCTGGGTTTGATTTACGTATGAGTACGTAAATTGGTTCATTGTGAAAAGCCTATTCTTATTATCCGTTTTTCCAATCATAGTACTAAAAGACATGTAAACCCATTGCATGGGTCAGTGTCAGTGACTGGTAAAAGCGTAACTGGTTTGAAACTTTGAATTATGGATTATCTGCCCCTGGTGACTGAACGCTGTAAGACTGGGGACTTGGGAGAGATAAGTCATAATTCGTGGCAGCTCATTGGTTCTTCTCTCAATGAACTTGTGTCTTACAGAGATCCATTCGACTTGACAATGGGGTTTATACACTGTGCTGTTTGGCCCTATTTCACAACTGGACTTTAGCTCTCTGTACTGCATATGTTAAAATGTAGGAGTTATTGATTGTCATAGTACAACAAGTTGCTTTGAAAAAGCAGACCAGATCTTTGTAGTTTGTATGTCAGTTGATGTAAAATTGTCATGTAGTACTGCTGTAGCACTGATTGTTGTTTGAACTGCAACCTGGTCTCCATTCAGCAATGCACATATATACCTAAGATGGTCACAACTCCCTTACTTTAACATGGACGTAGTAAATGCTGTAATTCCATTGTGGATTAGGGCCTAGGTCCCGTTTCACAAAACGATCTCAGTGCTATGACTCTCGTAAGTCTACATTAAAGCTCAGGAGTTAGGATAGTCGCAGCGCTACAACAGCTTTGTGAAATGGGACCCTGGGCCTAGATTTTCGAAGCTCTAAACGCTAAGATAGTTGTAAGGTAATGTTAATGTATGGCTCTTACGACTATCTTAGTGCTAAGAGAGCTTCGAAAATCTAGGCCCTGGTCTTCAGGATGAGTCTGAGTCTTGGTTGTCAGTCCATGTGAGATTGTCATTATGTTGAGACCTTTGTAGTGATAAGATTTTGTGGTGAAATGCATGCCTGTTCCACACTGTATATCCTAGTGCGCCTGTCCATTTGAAAATGTCCACAAGTATTACTGACAGTTGTAGCACTGTGATTGTCCCCTCATATGCCTGCCACAGTCCTCAGTCTCGGTCGAGTCAAGGTGTGTCAGTCCATGTAGCCAGAAGTGTAGTGCCAGATTACATATGTCGACAACATCCTGACAAAACTGTTGAAACAGGGCCCCTGCTGTCACGTCCCACCCCTTGTGCCATGGCCCGTGTGTTGAAGATTAACATGTTTGGCCTGTAGTCGGCAAAACACTGGCGAGCTGAAGCCCCACAACCGGGTAGACAGTGTACCCAGACCCTTGTCAAACATGCCTTTTCACCTGTTTGGAGCCACGACACACAAAAATTTGTTGACCAATTAGCCGTTTGTTTTGGAGGGTAGGGACGCCCTACTGGCAGAGATTGATAGGGTGACGGATGACAACAACCTGAATGTGTTCACAGTTGTCAAACACGAGGTTCTGCTCTTGAGAAACCTGAATTTCTCCCTATGGATGTTTGCTCACGAGTGCCCTCCCACCCCACCTCTGTCAGTTGGGTGATCACCAACTACTTGAGATAACCCCATGTGTACCACTCCAGTCTAGATTGCAGGAATCCTGCCTGAAACTTGCGGCAGTTTATTTGTATAAACAGTGCCAATAATCTTAACACGAACACAAGGATTAGCTTATGCTTTACTTCATACCAGTTTCACAGTCTTTTCTTTGTCTCACTGTGAATAAGAAGTCACCTCAACAATAACTGACATATATTTGTTAGTGCATGTGGCAAGAAAGATTAGTTACTGTCATTATTGCACAATGTTTTGCTGATATTATATGTCATGCTGTTTTTGTGAATCATTCATAATGATCACTGTCATCAATTTGTCATCAGGTTCCTCACCTTGAGGTTACCCAAAATACATGACCTCAAATCAATGTCAGTGTGAACTAAGTTAATTGAATTCAGGCTTAAACCAGGCCATTTATGGATTTGAGAAAACCAGTATGGTTCTCCCAGGAATATCAGGCTTTTAGAAACGATGTATTTGTCAAAGTTGAAAGTGTTTTTAAATAAGCTGTGTATGTATGTTCCAGTGTCTAATTAGAGTCAGTAAATGTATAACATGTTGGTTATTTATATACAAATGTTTTTACAAAGGGATGTTTTTCCCAGTCTTTGTTTTATCACAAGAAATGATGCAGTGTACCTTGTGTATTTTCAGGAGAAACAACTGGAAGCCCAGCAAGCTAAGCTCATGCCCTCCACAACGAAGAAAGCCAGATCACAAGGTAGGTTGTGACAACCTGGAAGTGTCAGTGTTTGGTTAACCATACACTCTTTATGCCTTGGACAGTTTGTAGGTTGTAAGAAAGATGAGGTATCTATCTTTGGTTAAACATAATCTGTTTCTATCATGGACAATAATTTCCTGGATATCATCACATTCTTCTACAAGTTAATCATGTTAATATGCCAGTTGGTGTACAACCAACCCATTCTTTATGCTAGATGATTTCCCTTGGTTCTCATATGCCATCAACAGGATATCCACAGCATGAAGGCATGTTAATCAGAAGCTCATCTGGCACACTTTTTAACATAAGGCTGGACTTAATTGATTAATTGATTCACAGAATCAGCTGACACTAAAGAAGTGGAAAGTGGGAAAAATCAAATATCAAAAGAATTATTTGTTTCCCCACCAGTTGCAAACTTACAATTTTGAGGGTGGGGGTGTAGACAAGCAGGTAAACTGCAATATGAATAGGATACAATAAGACTAAATGATGAGAAACACTGGCAATATGTTTGCCTCTTCTCTCTCTCTCTCTCTCTCTCTCTCTCTCTCTCTCTCTCTCTCTCTCTCTCTCTCTCTCTCTCTCTCTCTCTCTCTCTCTCTCTCTCTCTCACTCACTCACTCACTCACTCACTCACTCACTCACTCACTCACTCACTCACTCACTCACTCACTCACTCACTCACTCACTCACTCACTCTCACTCACTCACTCACTCACTCACTCACTCACTCACTCACTCACTCACTCACTCACTCACTCACTCACTCACTCACTCACACACACACACATATGGATGAGATAGTCTGGTGGGTAAGGTAATCACTTTTACAGTTCAAGGGATGATTTGGTTGCCTTATATGGGTACTGCAGCCAATTTCAGCTGGCCCCTGCCAAGATATTATTTGAATATTGCTGAAAGTTGCACTCACTCACTAAACCAAAAAATAAAAACATAATCTGGTTTAAATATATCATTCCATTCACTCCGCACTAAAGTTATTGGGAACCACTGTTCTATTTTGTTAAGCCTTTCAGTAATAAAGCCAAGTAGGTATTTGTGGTAATGTTGTCTCCAGCCAAGTAGTCTTTGTCAATTCCAGCCAGATTCAATGAATATGGAAGAACTGACCAACTGGCTCCATAGCCACTGCTCTTTAGCCTGAGCCTCCTCCAGCCTCTGTGACCAGCCACAAGTCTGACTTGTGTTTACAGAAGTCCTATCTTGACATGTCACAGCACATAAGTGTTGAATCAGACCACCGCACTAAAAGCTTCTGCACATGAACATGTTCACTACCCATGTAAACTCAGAAATCCAATCCCACTTGTGCAGCTTGTAAACCTGTGTACCTTGTGCTCATAATTAGAGTAGTAGTCTAGATTCAACCAGTAAGACCTTGAGGGGTGCTACTGGCCCAGATGTCTAAACCATTGCAATTTGCTGTGTGGAGTTGCTTGCTCATGCTAGGAACTGATGAACATTGGTTTGAATCCCAGATTTGACCTTTTATGATTCATGGTTTGTCACCTGTCCTCAAAGTGATTAACATGCAAGATTCATGTGGCTTTTTCACCCCTCACATATACATGTAACATTGTGCTACAATACTAAACTATAGATAGAAAGCAGTTCCAAACTCATTCACCCACTTACAAGCCAGTGAAGGAGGCCCCTTTAGACAGTGTCAAAGCTGAAAGACAGCTTAAGTTACAGTAGCCAAGGACATATTCAGTTATTGTAGTGAAGGACACATTTGTACTTGCTATAGTGGAAAATAGACAGCTTAAGTTACAGTAGCCAAGGACATATTCAGTTATTGTAGTGAAGGACACATTTGTACTTGCTATAGTGGAAAATAGGTTAATTATTTTAGTGAAGAACACATTAAGTTACTGTAGCAAAGCACACCGTTGTACCCCCACTTTGTTGTTTTACACTTCTCACAGCAATATTTTAGCTATAATACAACAGACTGTGAAAAGGTAAGTCTGGGCCAGTGATTGACATCATGAGCATTGATCTAGGCATTTAGGATGTGATGGCATGCCTCAACCAAGTCAACGAGTCTGACCTCAATCCCTTTAGGTATTTCTCATGACAAGATGACAAGCCCCAGTTCTAACCAGGATAGATAGATAGATAGATATTCTTTATTTCATCCAACTGAATGAAGATTACAATGTGTGGTAATAATATATATTTACGTGAAATGATTAAGATAGATTATTGATAGAGTCACAAATGTTCACATACATACAAGTGTTTTAGAAGTATCACCATTTCCTTATAAAATGGCTTACATTAATTATTACTTTTGCCCATACATCTCCTTCTAGTTCCATTATGCACGCTATTGGACATCCACCAAGTAAAAATGCAAGAATAACATCATCATCTTGATCCCAGATCTTAACAAAAGTTTCTACATCCAGAATATCACATATGGAGTGAAAAAGTTCATTTCTGTCATTCATATTTATCGTACATAACATAAACACATATAGGACATAGTTGTACTTACTGTAGTGAAGGACAAATCCTTTCTTCCATTTGTGAAGGATGTTGTTGTACAGACTGTATTATATAAGTGCACAAAGATAGTTGACATCAGAGCTTCTTATACTGCTACTTTCAAATGGCCATGAAGATTTATTTTTGGTGCATGGTGGAAAGATCAATGGTCAAGGTCAAAGAGTGAGAGAAACAAGTATTTATACATTTACCACTTCAGGATGGGACCTTGCTTTGAAAAGACTTCTGTCTAGGATAATCAAAGGCTAATGCCTGCCATCAGCTTTTCATAAAACATGACTATACCATTGGCAGTATCTTAGGTATGGTTTCCTTTACAGGCATGGGACTATATTATTACTTTCTACAGAAAACCAACCACATGATATGTCAATTGAATTATGTAAAAGGATCAAGGCCTTTCAACTGTAGTTATATCATATTTTCTTGTGAATATGATATGAATGTAATCAACATCAGAGGATGATATGCTGCAATGGTCTTATTCAACACAGACCAGTGGAATTGTAGTACAAGATGTGAGCAGGTTAGAGTCCTGAAAAATGAAAATGTTGTGCATCAGCTTGTAGCTTCTGTCGTAAAGATCTTTTACAATCTGAGACTTGGATAACTATAAGATCTAAGGGAGCTGTCATGATTATAGTCAAAGTATGGAAGTGATGTTTTATTAACTAGAAGTACATGATGGCTTATTAATATTTTAAACTTTTATGAAAAGTGACCTTTTTGGCAGTTAAAAGCAAACACCTCTGGACAATTTAACATACTACAGACTAGAGATTACCCATCCTCACTGAAAGCACCACACAGAAAGACACAGAAATTGGCCACAAGTCGATCAAGCTCTGTGGCTGCTATTTTCTTGACAACTAACTGTAACTGGGGGAAAGCCCTACGTGATTAGGATGTCCGTTTGTAGGCTGTGATTTGAGATGCCCGAACAAGGCTGTGGTCAGCATATCACTTTCTAGAGTGTGACTTGGAAAGACAAGTTTCACTTTAACTCAATGAATCACCTCAGAAATGTTGGTGAGGGTTGTCAGGACTGGGTAAATCAATGACAGCAGGCCGACAGCAGACTTCTTTGGTTATTGTTCAGTTGGAATTTTGGAAAGCTTGAATAAGTTGAGAAAGTATGAATCAAATTGAGAAATGTTGTCTTTTAATCGTCATTTTTTAAGATAATATTACCATCCTAAACAGATTGCTTGTGAAATGTATATTGGATTAATAGTGGACATATTTATTGAATGTAATTTCAAAGTCATAATTATGTGATTGTTGTGATAAAGTAGACATTGAGAGAAACTAGGATCCAAATTACATACATGACTATGATTAGAAAGTACCATTCATTCATTTACTCACATCACAATGTATTAACTTTTTATGAAAGTCAGAGGCTCCTTGTCTTAACCCAGATGTTAGGATATTCCATTTAGGTAATTCTAATCTTCAAAATGAAATTGTACCAGATTGTCTTCATGCCATTTATCTCCATAAAAATCACTATCAAGGTGTCCTAAGATTAAGAACTTTACTAGTAAACCTTGAATACCCTTGTAGCATGTGCAATATTGTATCGCAAGTGTGTTCTCATTATCATTTTACATATCTTTTTATATATTTTTATAAAAAACACTGCATCTAAAAATGGGTTTTTCCTGTCAGTGCTAGGATGGCTGTTAAAGTGAACAGATGACTCCTTGGAAGTAATGAGTGTGCAGATAGAGATCTTGTCATGAAGATTGTTTGTAGGAGGGTGTAACATAAATATTGTAATTATCCTGGAACATGAAGCGCTTCGCCTGACACACTTGCAAAACACAAGTCCATCATCAAGTGTGTATGTGTTCTTCATTTGGCTGGAGCAGATTGTCAACATCGTGGCCAGCAGGGGGCACATATTTTCCTAATCTAATCATATCTTCTTTAGGGTTTGTTGTTTTACATCTATACCTCCATTAGAGACCATGGCTGGGTAAACTGTGTGGTTAGCTTCATTCAAGTCAGAAAAGTACAGGACAAAGTTTTGTATTGAGTATGGTTTGAAACATTCAAACATATTGTGCAGTGACTGTCAGAACATGTCCTTTAAACAATTGTATTGTCATTGTCCCTTGAACAAAAGGCCTTGGCATGTTGAATTTTTTAGGAAATTTGTACATAGAGAAGGTCTGTTAATCAGAGCTTTACATAGATGATCTATAGAAGGATGTGACTTCAGGCCATGGCTACCATATCAACCAAACAAAATTGTCATTCATGCCTGCTGCTCCTCCATTCAAGGAGTGAATGAGTGTGTTCTTTGAAATTAATTTTGTTGCATGGTTTCAGTGCACATTTGCTAGTAATATACTGAGGGAAACAAATAAGGGAACACCACTTGATGGCAGTGTTCCATTATTTTTTTCTTAGATTTCCTCCCACAGCGTTATTCAAAGCTGGTGAGGAAAGCTGGAAAACCTTAAAGGAACATTTGAATTTTCCTGTGTTCCTTTATTTGTTTCTCTCAGTATAATTCCACCTTGTGTATATTCCCAACCACAATAGTTAAAGAGGTTAAACAATGTCACAACTGGTTACTCCTGGGGTCTTTCTTACTGTTGCATTGGTGAAGTTGCTGTAATATCGGTACAACTGTTGTAGTGGTATTGTGATGGTATGATGAGAACATCCATCTTTGACCTTGTAGACATCCTGGCATAGTTTCACATGCTAACAAAGTCAAATACTTCCACTGTTTCCTAGGATTTCAGAATTTTAGAGTTGGGGGAGGTTCTTTTTAATATTCTTTAAAAGAAGTTTATGAACAAATATGACCCCAAACATAACTGCAATGATATTTTACAAGTAAACCAAATCCAGATTGAACAGGCCTATATTTCAAACACAGTGTATTATTATGAATTTCCAGTATTTAAAAAAGAAAAGTTTCATGAACATGTGAGTTTGTTCAGAACTGATAGTTTTGCAGCGTGTGAAATTTTTGTTGTGTAAAGTAGTAAATTTCATGTCCTTTTGCAACCAACCAAACTACCATTGACGCCTTCCTGTCACACTAACTCCATCGATCCATATGCAGGAACATGGTCTTTTAAAAAGAAATGATAAACATCATAAAAACTTAAATATTGCTGCATTGAAAATTACATTTACATTTGAGATTGTTTTTGTCATTCAGGAAATATTTAAAATAGATTCTTTGTAGATGAATACCAAGGTAGCTGAAGAAATATGCTACACCAAAAATGATAAATGGAATTCCAGGGTTTAGCATTGAGTGTCATCATGTCATGGGATGGGGCTGATTAGCATCAGTAAACATCTCTCCATCAGTCAAACTCTTTCTTCACAAAGTAACTCAGCTCTTAACCTAGAGGGCCTTTCTGCTTAGCAAAATAAACGTCTCAAAAACAGCAGATTAAATTTCCAAATTATTCCATGTGGTCTTGATCTGAATAATGCATTAATCATGGCCATCATCAGCTTATTATAAAAAGATAGCTCACTATTATAAAAACAAATTAACATATCAAATAACACACATTTTAAGATTTATTAGCAGATAGATTGTCATAATAACAACCTTTGTATATATTCATTTGCTGGGCAAGGCAGGAAGATAATATTTGAAAATGATGATATTCAGAACGTAATGATTTAAATGGACAGTTTGTTATTTACGTTAACTAAGTGAAATTTGTGCAGTTTCAATAACCATGTTTTCATGAATACATAGTTTGTAAATTCTAATCATGTGTAAATTATGATAACTCATATCAATTTCTTTTTATGTAGAAACTTTCTACAGTTTCATAAATCCATATGGGCATATCATTTCATAGCAGTTTTTGAGTACAGTAGTTCGTTTGCTCTGAGCGATAAGGCCATGGCTGTACAGTAAGTGTGTCCGTTTAACAAGCAACTCTGAATTATGGGCAGTACATATAGGGAGAACTGATGTTATTTAGCTAATCAAGGAATTTTGATTTATGATACAAAGTATTTCCTTAGAGATTAATGTGAAATTAGTGTCACACCTACTCCAGTGGACCCGTGAAGATCGAGGTTAGAATTGATGTTCAGTAACCAATGCTTGTCGTTAGAGGCGACCAACAGGATCGGGTGGTCAGGCTTGCTGACTTGGTTGACACATGTCATCGGTTCCCAGTTGCGCAGAATGATACTCATCCTGTTGATCACTGGATTGTATGGTCCAGACTCGATTATTTACAGACCGCCGTCATATAGATGGAATATTGCTGAGTGCGGCGTAAAACTAAACTCACTCACTCACCTACTCCAGGGTATAAAAGACATTTAAATATCAGTTTTCTTGTATTCAGCTATACAAAGTTATATACCTGGTATATTTTATTGAGATAAAAGTTTTCTTTGGGATGTGTTAAGAACTTTTTCCCCTTTTTTCAATGTTTAATAGAAAAACATACTTAGTTAAATCATTACATCTGATATATATGTATTTTATAAAATCTGAATTTAAGCAGTTTCAGTAAGTCCAGTCAGTTTTGTTAGTTTGGGTTTTAGTACTATGGCATGCCTATTTGCTTTGCCACTGTAATGATGTTTAATAAACTTATATCATCTTGAATGTGACTGAATGTACATATTCCCTATGTTAACAGACAAAGAACACCGTGACACAGAGTTAAGGATGACCCTGGCCAGCCGCTTCCCCCCAGAACAGTGGACAGTTGCCCAGGAGTACTTCAAGGTGGAGTAGGAGGTGGGGCCCAAGTGCTGGCACCACTGTCATTGGGAGTTTACATGTGGATGCTGGTGGGTATCAGGTCTATTGGTGCTGAAGGCAATGTGCTGATATGACATGCTGTGTACTGTAGACTGATTCCCTGTGAGCTGTGGTATGACTTGATGTCAGGGAATGCATTACTCATATACACAGCACTGACATCCATGTCCTTGTTGCTTTTCTCTGACACTGATTACAGAGTGTTTAGCTGTCACTGACTCTAGTCTCAGCCCGACTGTATGACAAATGACAGTGTGTGGAGAGTGATGACAGGTCTTCAACTTTAGGTGCCGTATAGATAAGTCATATGTGTGTCTTTGATAGCAAAGACACAATACTATGAGTCTAGGGTGTCATTAATTCTCCAAAGAAAATTATTTTATGTCTTGTCACATACCTAACAGAAGCAGGTAACTGGCCTTTTTGAAACATGTTTTTCAACAGTCACAAGTTTCTAATCTTTTTATAGACGTGAACTATGGTGAGATTGTTATCAATTAGAGTTGGATTGGCTAAGACAGGTTTCAACTTATACTGCAATAAATGTGTATAGGTCAAGAGACAAGGTGAGTTATTCCTCCTGATGTTTTGGTTTAGCTGTTTATGTCAAGATGCTATCCAATCTTTACTGCCGATTTAATGATGTAATCACATGTTTCATAAAGCACAAATCAAATTGTTGATGAACTCTGTACAGTAACAATTATAATGAGCAATATCATTATGACTAGCTACCAAAGAGTACTTGTATACCTGTATGAATGCATTTGTGATTTACTCTCACTTTGACAAAAATCAACCTTGGCAAGGCATTTTCTTTTTCCTTAACATTTTGTTACTGTACTTTTCATTGCTGACATTGCAGGCTGAAGTCAATAATAAGTTAATTGTATTGTCTTGTTTTATATTACAAGTGTTGATAGGTAGATCCAGTTTATGACTTGTAATAGTATCCTTTTGCACTATGAGTTATTATTGGACTGGAGGCACTGGATCATATTCCTATTGGGTACTTACCTTTATTGACACATTTAACAATTTCATGTCACAGGGTATTCATTAACAATGTGTTTTTCTAAAGGAAATCAGTGAGTTACTGTTTTATGTTAAATCAGCATTTTTGTAGCTGTATAGCTATATATGCTTATTAATTACTCCAATAACAGTTTAATTATTTGGTTTGTGTACTTCAACTTTTGATGAAAGCAATGATTTAAACACTTGCTTATTATTTATTAAAGATATAAAATATCAAATTAATAATATATTTTTTCAAAATTGATATTGAATCTAACAAATAGAAAATGGTGCTCAACATATGATTGTCTTTTATACAGTGAACATGTTCTAGTTGATTTTCTTTCACTGACATTAATTTCAGGCTGTTAATTAAGGTTTATTGATGACTGACGTATCCTATTGACAGCGTGAATGATAGTAAGGCTTGAAGGGAGATGCTGCAAGATGGTCTCTTCTCAGGCATTCACTTCAAAGAAATTGTGAAGTTGCATTGATAATTGTGTGAAAAAGGCTATTGTGATTGAACTAATAAAGTACTATCTTCAGCATAAAACAACTCATTCACTCATTGATTTGTGTGAAGAAAAGTACTACCAAAGGCCCAAAGTTTCATTTTTTTGTGTTATCAAATTATGAAATTTCATTAGGGTATATTTTCCTGCTGCACTTGTGCCTGAGAAATCAGAATATATTTTAAGCAACAGTACACTTTTATACTGATAGTGTTGTGTTTAGTATACCCTGATGTTCAACATGAGCCATTGTCCTCTGAACCAAGGTGCTAACTTACATCTTTAATAGTCGACCCAAATGATTTGGGGCATAATTGCTGATATCCTTTAAATTAAAAAATCCCATTTGTTCAACGAGCAACAATATCACTATAGGAAACATCGACAAAATATTGTTTATACATGTATCTTGTATAGAATTCTTCAGATGTTGCAGAAACTATTGTTTACCTGAAAAGAGGTTAAGCTCTATCCCTTCTATGTATTATTATGCATTCAACTTCAGTGTACTGGTTCATTTTGGAAATAACATCTGACATTTTTCTAAGTTGTGAATATGTAAGATACCACCATTAACTGAAGAGTTGATGGTTGCAAGTACTGAGTCATATTTCATGACTCAAAGAAGATGAAGATGACTTCTTTAAGGGTAGTCAAAAAACTATTGCTATGAAACAGTTACAGATTAGGTCAATAATTCTTTATGTTCAAATGTTTCAACACCACCAAACAACCATTTTCAGACATACACTGAAACAGACTCCAACCGATGCACACTAAACTATCAGTGGAAATTATTATAGGTGGATGACATTGAAAAGAAATGTGTTTTGTCAGAACTTGAACACTGAATACAATTTCAGAAAAAAAATGTTTTTTTCTCATGGATATATTTAGGAATAGGTGCTGAAGTTGTTGCCAAGTGTCCTGGGGCAGAGGGGTAGCGTAGTGGTTAAAGCGTTTGCTCGTCATGATGAAGACCCGGGTTCGAATCCCCATGTTGATATAAAGTGTGAACTCACTCACTCCAAGTGTCCAGCTGATCAGTTCTGGACTGAGCTTCTGCCTCTGCAAGAGCTACATCTCCATCTCTCTGTCATCAAGCATGTCCCATGCAATTCATTGGTCTTCCTTGCCTAAGTCTGTGATCTGTGTGTTGAGTCTTGGAACTTCAAGTAAATCTGTGTTTGCTAAATGTTTCTGATGTTATGTTTTTTTCTGTAATGATCTGAACTATTTTCCAACCCTTTCATGTGTGTCTATTAGTAGTGTGGTGTGATTACCAGTGGTTTTCATTTGATCTATTTTATGAGTAGATGGAGAAAAGTATGCAAAAAAGCAATCAACAGAACTAGGACCAACACTCACAGTACTTTTTTTTTAATCTGAAAGCCTATCAAAAGAAATAGGCCAAACACAAAGTGTACATTTTTATCTAAACACATATCAATAGATCTATGCGCAACAAAAAGTGTACATTTTATTTTAGAATGATTTTGCTATAATTGGATGCTGTCCATGGCCCAGAGACACATTTTATTTGATGGAACTACATGTAAGTCTTGATTTTTAGTTCTGTATTAATTTCCCTTTGTTATGGTAATAGGATTCTATTGATCTCCATGCTTGCATATGTGTATAATTTTATTTATGTGTATTCAGTACATATGGTTATTTAACCCTACTGAACTTGATATTATTGTCAGTATTACCCCTCATACTCATCTCTTGGATGTCCATGATGTATATGTGTACACACTGAAGGTAAAGAATATCTACCAATGAACACCTACATAATATGTTTTGATTGTTTGATTTTTGTATGCTTTCATGATGTCTAAAAACTGTTTACTATGCATCTTTGTATACTGGCTTCACATTCCTTTCATATTGTTTTGGTGTATTTGACAAATGGTTAGGTTGTTTTACTTGACTATGGTAAAATAACCTATTAATCCTTGATTCAGCAATTTGATTGGTTTGTCTTTTGTTTTCGATGTGAGTGACACTTGTATTGACCTGCCTTTCGTAGTTATGTATGTGTGCTCATGTGTTATGAACCCACCCTGTTGTGTGTTGGAAGTGCAACGTCCAGTCTAGTTTAGTCCTTATATGAGAGTGAGCAAAGCATATTAACGTGTATTTAGTATTAGTATTTTTTCACACTGACCTTGTTGACCATTGTCTTAATATGTACTGATTTGTTGGCAAAGTATATCATTATACTTTAATTTGATCTAAATGCTTATGGCACAGTTCGTCACAGTTGCCATTTCCTTGATGTTTTTGAGGTCCATGTTGTCTGTATTGTGGATGCTGTGCCTCACCATTGGAGAGTGCAGTGGAGGTGAATGTTGGAATACAAACAATGACTGTGATATATAACTTTGAACATTCACAGTGTAAGTGTGTACTTGTTGTCTTGCTTTTTTACAGATTTTGTTGCAACAGTATTTGGTTTGTTCATGTCTATTGCTTGAATGTCCCTTCTGTGCTGGACAGTGCTGGTTGTGACGTGGCCATGCTGTACAACTGATAATAAATTATTACAAAAATATGATCAGAAGTTGTGTGAGTTATTTGTGTTAAGGTCTATTGCTTGTTTTGTACTGTCTAGTTTTATTCAAGAACCGTCCGCAAATACTGCAGCTGCGACTACAGGAACAGTCATGAGGTGGTTGGAGGTTGTATTTGGAATTAGGGTGATATTGGAGGTACCTGGTGAATCCTTAGTTCATACCAGTTACTGGTTTGCAATCACAGAGGTAATGACCTGAGGTTTTGGAAAGCGAATTTTGTGAAATTTTACACTCATATTTTTAGTGTAGGTCTTGCATAATCCCCCTAACCTTTCTTAGCTGTAATTACTCACTCTAAAACACTTTTTATCCCCCACAACACGTTTTGCAGGAGGTATTAAAATGGACTCCGTCCGTGCGTCTGTGCACATTTTTCCGGAGCAGAACTCTAAAACCGTTCAGTGTTTCTTCACCAAACTTGGCACATACATACATCTGGTGGTGTACTGGTGCCATTTGGTAGTTTTGGAATTCTGAATAAAATATGTTTGGCCTTTCCATGGCAACAAGTTTGACTTAGATTGAAATTGATGGTTGTGCTCCTTTCTGGAGCAGAACTTTAAAAACCTTTCAATACTCTCCTTCCATTTTTCTATATACACACCAAAACATTTGACATAATCATAACTCGTAGACATATACATGAAGAGTATTTTGCCATTGCGGGGGATATTGATGACTATTTTCTTGTTTATGTTGCCATACGGGGTTCTTGACGAGCCGTAATGCATTATAGTCGGAAATTGCATTTGAAGGTGCAGAGAATATAGATCTTTTGGATACGTTTTAGGAAAGAACAGGCAGTTACTCCTCTGCTAATGACCAATCTAAGAAGTGACCGGGGACAAAATCAGGAATTTCAATTCGATTCCTTTCGCTAAATTCGATCCTACATGCAAATATTAAAACGATCGTTCGGGAGGAACCGTCTAGATGTGTCTTGGTGAAGCCACGCCGGGTGTTACACAAAAAGGCATACGATGTCCCTTGGACATCTGTTTCTCACAGATGGAAACGAGCGTAAGAAGAAAAATTACAGATAATTTAGCAAGCAGTGTTCTTTATATTTTAGAAAATATTTTACAAGACCACTGGAAGTTGATCATTTGAAATTCGTACTCAAAGCAGACTGGTACGTCTTCATGCGCTATGCTTTATGACAGGAGCATTGTTGGTTGGGCAAAGGTCACGGAACGCCGAAAACGCACGCTCGTCCCGAGCTAATACAAGCTGACATTATAATGGACTGTTTCATTACATGGAATGTGGATGCTGAGAGGGAAATACAAATTCTGAAAACGGTCAGATTCGCTCAAGTGCAGATAAAGAGCCTGGGTGGTAATTTAAGGAATCGGTTCTTTGCAGATTTCTCCTATCAGAAAAAAACCCTCCTGAGATTATTGCCAAGAGGGTGTCACATTGCAGTCGTAGCAAGTTTAAATCAATTCACGTAAGACCTACTTTGATTTTCTATTTACTCAATAATTGCTATGTTAAGTTATGTATGGTTTAATTGTTTCTCTTAACAAGCAGAATGTTTCTTTTTAACAAAAGGCACCAACTACAAGGTATAGATCTTGACTGGAACTGTGCACGTAACTACGAACCACTGTCCCTATATTCTACAACTGTTTTTCACATAGTTACATTTTTCATTCAAAATTACGTTTGGCCTGTTTGACTTTTCACTTTGCGGAGATTACATTTGCTCTTACAGAAAGGGAATTGTGCAGCTGCCCCCAAATATGTGTGATAAACTAACCATGATGTGTCCGCATCCGGCGACTGACCTCTGTTGTGGTCGTACAAGAACCCCGAAATACAATCATAGAGACAGCGATTCATTTTAGGGTCCAATCATTCTGAAACTTCAATTAAAAGTGCAAAATCCGGAAAAGATTGCAAAAAAGCAGGAGGAACATCAGCCGTTTCGCTTAATTACCTCTAATTGTTTTACTTTAATGTTTCTTTTTCACGAAGTTTTTCCCAGATAACCGAACCCATCCGGTTGATTCCGAGTTCCTGATGCCAATGATGGTCATGGTAGCCTATTGACTCCAGTAACGAGATACAGTGTTATTTCGTTGCCTATCTTTTAAGTTTCCCTTAGTTGCCTTAATACCATCGCTATAACCGCGGCTACCCATCATGGAATTTATTTCTGTTCGGTCTGAGAACCCGGGTACATGACCCATGGAGCTATTTATGCATCCGGGACATTCCCCACGGTTTTGCGTCAGTTGCGCATGTTGTCGTCTGCTTCATATCCATCTTGCATGTCACGAGCGAACATTCCCTGGCGGCGCCAACATTCACGGAATCCTGAACTAGAATCAAACACGACAGTCTCAGCTCCCAGCTTTTCATCTCCCAAAACAATGATATTATGGAATGTTGACTTCTGTATACCATTACCTCCGCTTCACAGGTCTGCCAACATTTTTATCTTTCACGGACGCCTGACAATATGACGCACGCAGTGTCCTGTGGATGATAATCCTATCTCTCCAAAGTCCACCTATAGCTGCTTGGGGCGTAGCACTTCTGTTTTTTTTTATTCTCCTTCGTGAGAGCGCAGTGGGTGGGTCTACTCCAGAAAGAAGCAGGATTCTGTTGCGATTTGCCGCGGATTTTAAGGAATCGGAATCAATGACGTCTCAAACGGTAAAAGACAGCTTCCAGGAAGCCAGACCAAGCTGGTATAAGTACTTGCAAAAGAAACCAATTCAATTTTCACCCTGTGCGATTAAAGCATTACTTGCGATGCAGCTGCATCGAATTGAAAACCTTCTCCGTAACCTTTGCTAACCCCGTTTCACTACTTGTGATTCCTTGCCATATTCAGGCCAAATGACGTTCGACGTGGGACGCTTTATGACATGTCGCTACGCGCCCTTGTCAGAAAGAATAAAAGAATAGCTCTAGATAGCTTTTGATGTTGAAAATAACAATTGACAGTTTTCTTTCTTAGGCTTAGTCTGGCGATGGAGTTATTCTGAAGAGGGTTCTATGGAGCTCCATATGCCGTATTTCGCGTGTGTGACTGATTATGTCATTTGAGACCGTGGTGGTCGAGTTGGGAGGTGTTGACGCTGCCAAAAATGTCACTGTGTTGAATTAGCAGGATTCCGGAATCAGTTTCAATTATATTTGTACTTTCGGTAACATGTGCACATGGGCAGATAAGTCGTTAACGCTTACAGTGTACATCAGGGGATGTGTTGTCTTCAACTCTTAATCTTTTGCTCTTGAATTCTTTGTTTAATTAAAGATTTTACAAAATATCACTTGACGTGGTATTCCGCTGTGTATAAAATATTTTATATGACATAAAAAGTTGTAAGGGTTACGCCGCGTTATTTTATATGGCTGATAATGCTTAACGTCATCTTCATCAAACCTGACAACCATTTTATAGAATTTTGTATACAATGCCGTTTTGGTCTTCCTTGCAAACAATAATTTAAAAAAAGGAATATAAACAGCCGGGCTTAAGAAAGTATATACTCATTGCAGACGGGAGTGAAGCAAACAAAAAATACCATTCGATGGTGATGGTGATGTGTTTGATGACATCATATAGCTGTCTGTTTGGGTTTTAGGTTAGCAGTGTTTCGGAGAATGTTTTCAGCCTAGTAACGCTTTGACATCGTTTGTTTGCTCAAAGTTTCATGTGTATGCTTTTTTATCACCGGCAGTGTTTTGGACAAAACCCCGAAAAGGGTCGTGTTTAATGTAGGTGGTGTTTATGAAGTTGGCAATGGCACCGTTATCAGTAATCAACGGCCAATGGATACGGAAAAGTGTCTGCGCATTAATGAACACTTTCCTTTAAGTTTTTAACGGTACCTTGATCCAGACAATGATAATTTGGAGTTGCAGCTTAGCATTATCATCACTCCCTTACGTTTGAATGAAAGAAAACACCCGGCTTGTCTGTAGCTCGAGCACAGAGACACTCAAGTCCTCAAACCGGACGTGAACTGACGAAGCAGGTGAGGTGCGACACGATTCCTCGCTTTCACAAATATCATAATTAGTACCAAAGACAATAATTTCTGTGTCTGTTGTGCACGTGTCATCCGGGGTGTCGCCATTGGTCGTGTCCGTTGTCGCCCCACCATTGTAAGGAACATGAACGCATTTGTCGTCTACCCGTCCGCCATCGCTAATGGCGACGCTGAGTTGGGTGAGAGATGTGTTTGAAACGCTGTCAATGGTGCCGAATTTCATTGTATTTTATAGTATTTCATATACGGGTGTAGCGGTCAAGTACTGACGCGAGAGGGTCTTAAAGGTGCGAGTAAATTTCTAATGGGTTTTTCCTACGTTTATACTCAATGTTTGGCTTGCAGGACGGGTAACGTTGTCAAGTCTCGCGGGAGGTTGGCGAGAGTTGTGGGTAGGGATCGTGTTGCGCCGGCAATCATTAGCGAGCAAACAGCAGACGACAGACGGTATTGTGGAAGAAAAGGGATGTCTGCAGTGAACGCTTATCGCTTGTATCTCAATAAAGCAGACGACGGAGCAGATAACGCAGTCACGGTCGTCTTTGAGGATTTCACACACAGCTATTAGGCTTCCTCCCGCCTCCATCTATAGCGCATTGTATAACTCACAATTGGCAGCGAGGGACGTCAACTCTCATAGTCAATGTAAACTCTTCACACTCGAATTTCCTTGACTTTTCCCTTGACAAGTTTGAAGTTTCCAGATTGTCATCTATTGGTTGTAAAATACCGTTATCAGTTGTGTGAGTAGTGTGGTAGTTCACACACAGTTTGGGATGGGTGGACCTTTTCAATTCTGAATTCGCTTTGTATATGGTCACGATTCGATTTTAATTAGAAAGGTCAGTGGGTGCGATGAAAAGAAGTTGTTGAAAAACAGGGAACAAGGATGTTTTGACAAGGAAATAATGTGTTTAAAAGTATGGCGTGCAATCATATAGCAAAAATATGACGCTGAATATATTTCCTCT